CCGCAGGCTGCATGTGGCCCAACAATGATTTGTTTGCGGCCCGTGAAAATGAATTACAAACCCTATGTGTCCGGCCCGCTAACCATCTTTGGCTAGAAGACACCTTGTTCTTTGCGGCCCAGCACCGATCATCTGTAAAAAGTAACAGTAAAACTCAGCATTAAGTGGTCATAAAACAGTGTAGGAAGGTTTTTGGAAACACGCTGAAACATCAAAGTTTGGGTGCGGCCGTCGGAGTTGAAGCAAAAATTCACTTTGGCCGTCTGATCCATTTTAATGCTCACCTCGGAACTACTGTAAAGTGTACAACATAATTATACTCTAGTGAAAAAAAGAAAACGTCATAAAAGATGCAAGTATTTTGTTAATGGTTCTTATAAGTAATAGACTTAGCTTTTCAATGCTGCAATACTGATATTAGTTTTTTAAATCATGTGAAATATTGGGCACATTTTTGTGTTTACAGTATTCATACATTTAAGTAGGAATAGAACTTATAATTTCTAGCACAAATCTACTCATAGTTTAGGTTAGGCAAATTTCCACAGTGAATAGATGCAACAGAACAATGCATGCATAAGCAACAGTGGTCGACTCATCTTGAAGACTGAAGCAGGGCATCCACGATTGTGTGACCGTCGTACGACGGATCCAACCCTGTTCCCTACGAGTGCTAGACGACGTAGACGGCTAAGCTGGATAAGATTCCAAAACAAAATTAAATAAACATCAATTATTAATTATTTGACAAATAAAATTTGCATTTTAATATAATGATCTTCACAGGCTGTACAGAAGTTCAAGTTAGAATGCTAATCATGCAGCGAGATGACAGCTCATTGAATCGGTCAACATATTTGTTAAGTTGGTTTTTGTGGTTTTGTCTACTATCTCGCCCACATTGTCTGGCTTCTGCCAATGCTCAACTGACAGACTGGAGAATTCCTTGATTTGCAGTTCACTTTTACCAGATGTAAACCTTATTTCTTATATACATTCTTCACACACTCAAAGCCATGAACATTGTTACTTATTCATAGACACTCATATACACAGTAATATACACATTCATTAATACTGTGATCAATTTTTGAAAATTCTCAGAAAACTTTTCGTTTATTCATAATACTGTCCTCTTGTTATTCAGGGAAATTCATGAGGAATGCTAAGTAAGATAGCTCATTTATAGCCTACTGTATGCTTTTATTATTCGTAAAACATTCACTTGACACTCAAAATGCACTTGTTCTCCCAATTGAAAAAGTTTCACTGGTAAATTTGTCCATATTAACCAGAGGTGGGCATAAAAATTGAACAGATGGCCAAAGTGAATTTTTGATTAACACCTAGGACCACACCCAAACTTTGATGTTTCCAGTTGACCTTCCAAAAACCTCCAAGCACTGCTTTTACACACATTTACAGTTTTAATGTTACTGTTTTACATATGGTCGGTGTCGGGCTGTAAAAAACAAGGTGTTTTCTAGGCAATGTTGCTTGGCAGGCTGCACACATAAGGTTTTTAATGAATTTTCTGGGGCCGCAAAAAGATTTGCTGTCGGGTCACGTGTGGCCTGTAGGCCGCACATTGCCCACCTGTAACATAAACCTAGCTGATTTTGCAACACAAAGCTTTAGCCCTTTTGGGTATGGTTCAATGAATTGAAAAGTAACAACACATAACGGCCTTAGCCTGGTCCTATGAGTAGAATTATGTTTATTATTGATTGAAAAAAGGCTAGTGTATGTTATCTAGGCCTAATTATTGGTTTTTTTTACCCAATACATAATTTTTACTGGTCAGCTTTTTATTTTAAGGAAAAATTTACAGCTAAACCGGCATCTGGAGAACACTATTAACGAGCATTCTTATGCATGAACACTCTTCCTCATTTCGGAATAAACACTCCCCCCATTCATTATCAACATATTTGGCTGGTTTCGGCTTGCTGGAGGAGGGGGAAGGGGAGGCTGAGTTATTGGTAGTCCAATGAATGGTCATTATAATAGTATTATAACCTCATAGCAGTATAATTATTTACCACCACCCACAGCTTATGTCCTAAGTATTGTTATTGTTTTAACATTCTCGCTCATTCATATAGTATTTTGGGCACATTCATCCTTATATCAGAATATAAAAATATAAATTTCCTGATGTTTTTTTAATCATGATTGGCTATAATACAGTTTTAATATTTAGAGTGCATTCGAATGGAAATGTACGTCTTATAAGATGTCATTATTATTATTATTTTAGCCATCTACGAATATAACATGAATTTGCGATATATCATCTCTTTAATGTGTTAAGCTACAGTGTCTTGGAATACAATCAACTGCCTCATGGCTATTCATGTATCATTGTAAAGGTTAGCCAAGCCTTATATGGAAATTGGTTTCTAACTTTACATTTAATCTGATCTGAGAGCATCAGTCATAGCTGCTAAATAACCAACAATGAAAAATAATGACAATGGTAATTTTAATGATCCATTTCAAAACACGTAGACTAAAAATGGTTGGTTATAAAATTATTTTTTTTGTCTGGTAAGAAACACAATAATTAACAGATATTTTAAACTCTAATAGAGATTAACATTCAGATAAAATATTCTAAATATTAACCAATTTACCAAGGATAATTTTTCTCAACAATGTTATTATGATCATGAACATGCATCTTTGAAAGAATACTAATGACGCCTCATCTTGATATAAAAAGGAGGCCTGCAGAGTTTCCACGATACGTAGCAAGGATCATGCGCATGGTAACCGGGTGCAGTTTTAAGCTTTCATTTTTGCGTCGCACATGTCTTCATTCTGTGCGTACCAATTGTACAACCATTTAGCAACGTTTGTATTTAGTCGCATGAAAGCGATGGATGTTGGTAGGAAAATATCAGAAGAAATATCTCTGTTAATGTTCACAAACATTTTCTGTTATGAGAATCGGGTATAAAACAGGGCCCTATATTATGTATCGCTCCACTCGCGTATAACAGGCCCACCCAACGTTCAGACCTTGCCGGCTATGGTATAAAATGACTGAGGTATTTGACTTGAGATAAATGATTCTTAGAGAGTAAGCACTTTAAAAAGTAGACTTAATCTGGTTGAGTAGATGAGAGTTTGATATTTTCCCCATTTTATTTGTGGATTATATTTTCTTCAGACTCACTCACTTGGAACTGTTCCAAATTTGGATGAACATGCATTGTGATAGGTGAAGTTTTCACTCTAACAACTGAATGAAGATCTTTAACAATAACCAAATTTCTGAATTATTTTATTGAAGATAGTGTAGGCCTACAAGTGTTGAAAAATCTTTCAACAAACCTGCATAAATTAAAGTAAACATTGAATACTGTACTCATTTAGAATTATTAAAATGCTAATATTTATCAAAATAATGTTGTTATAAATCAACAGATTTTAGTTCTTAATGTGCCTATTATTTGGCTAGGAAAATAATTACTTGTTCTAATTTCAATTAAAGGTTAAAATGCAAATTCTAAACAATTAAATTATCAAATTTTATTACAGTATGTTAAGTTATTGGCTCAATACAGTATACCATCTTGTGTTATTATTAAATTGAAAAACTGAAAAAAAAATAATAATAAAGTAAATTAATGTAAAGATTTTGTTAAGGGTGAATTTAAGAAAATAGATTAAATGTTTGCATATTATGCAGTATATTAAGACATGAAAAGGATAGAAAAAAAATCACTACTTCAAAGTTTAAAATTTGTCATGATGGGTTTTCCCCAGTAATTAACTAAAACTCTGCTGTTTATTTTACCATGTGTTAGCTTGCTGAATTTACAGTGGCACTTGGCAAGGTCTTTTGTTTGTTTATTGTAAAGCTTTCTAACCACTTTAAAGCTATTGTACTCTTAACTTAGTTTTGGAGGGAATATATTGGTAGTGTTTTTGTGGTGATGTTTCAGTAAATAAAGTAGAGTGTGTTTTAATGGAATACATGGAGACACCTTGGTAGGATATGGTACATATCTTATAATATTTAACAGTGTTCGCCAGTTCTAACTTGTAGTTTACCGAACAAATAGGAATTGTACAATGAACTTAGATGAAGGAAAAGTGGAAAACCAGGCAATAAAATTAATTATGGTTCTTTTTTTATCATGAAAACGAACATGAAAGAATAATTTATAAAAAATATTAAATGAAATGTGTTGAGTAAACATTGCTATATTATCCTTTCATCTGCTCTGGTTCTTATTTAATATTTTGTTTTGTCAGATTTTTCTTTTTATATTTTGAGACCTTATTTGGATATAAATTGAATTTGTTCGAGTTCATGGGTTCAGTACTGCCAAGATGAGAAACTGTAACAGGGGCAATGGTTGGTTTGGGCCGAAGGTGCAAACAATTTTTTTTTTTGGTCCCTGTCAATCTGGAGGGGCCCATTATTGAGGGACCCTTGCCATTATTGAGGGCCCAGGATAGTAACTATTATTTTAAGCTACATGCAATTTCTATGGGTCCCCTTGTAAGCTTGGGCCCTGGGGATCTTTCCACTCTCCCCCCCCCCCTTTCTCGGTGGCCTTGCATGGCTCATCCTAAAAAGTTGTTTGCTTTTTTCAAATTTTAACTGTATACTTGTCATTATTAAATTTTAACGCTTGAGAAAACAAATATAATCACTCGATTGTCACTGACAACCCTTTTCCTATAATAAGCTACCGCTTTACAAGAGAAGTTGTCAATGCTGGGTGAACAAAAGTCTTATCTCACAAAGTCAACAATAACCCCATTTAACAATACAATCTTCCACACTATAACTGAAATAATACACTTTATATATTATTTATTTATATTGAGTGGTTATTATTATTCAGGAATAACATTGTTGCCATTTACTGGAAAAAGAATCAAATTTACAATAGTTGATAACCTTCAATTTGTTATTCATATGCACAAACATTATGTTGCTTTATTTATAAATTTTGATGGATTTTTTTGTATTCTTTCAGGTATACAGAGAAGTAAGAATAATGAAGTTACTAGATCATCCTAACATAGGTGAGTTCTTCTATTCAAATTAAAAAGGTGTTGGCTTTAAAGATGTATTGTCCCCTGAAAATGACAACAAAAAATTCATACAAAATTATTCTGAAATTGACTTGCTTGTTTCGCTGTAACATACAAAGTATTCACTTGAGCATAGAAATTATTAATTTTAAATAAACCAATTTCAAGTTGATAATTTTTATGTTACTTCAAAATGAGCAAGTTAATTCAAAACTGATTTTAATGATTTTTTTGGGGGGCATATTTCATTGAATAATACATCTTTAAACCTGAACTGACATGTTTTCTCAACTAGTTAATATCATAATGTTTATTTAAAAAAAAACATTAACAAAGCAAGTAATACTTATGTTTTATTTATATAGTGAATAATGCCACAGTTTCTATGCATTTAAAGCACGGGTTCCATAAAATCGCTACATGCTTTGTTCGACGCTATTGAGTAGGTTGAAATGTGGAGCCTTCTATATTGTGTCGGGAATTGCACTTAAAAAAACCCAGTGATTTTATGGAACAAAGCTTACAAAACAAAAGAGCAACATTTTGAATAATTAGTGAGTATATTTAGGTTACATAAGGCTTCAGGTTAGTATATAAGCATTGTGACTATGGTAAATTGGAAAAATTCTAAGTGAATTAAAATACTGAATATTTATATGGATCAAATACGTTAACTTCTAATGAGACATACAAAATAATTATGGTTTCACAGATAATTAGTTTACTACATAAATTTTTAAATTAGATTTTTAATTTAAATATGCAAAGAATAGGAATTGCGATTATTTAGGCTAGTTTACTTGTTTTGTTGAACTTCTTAATTATGGAAAATAAGTTAAATATTCAAATCAAACTGGTTTATTTTAAGGAATCATATTTCTTGGTATTAAGGTAAAGGTAGGAGAATAACCCATAACTCAAAACTTTATTGTGCTGAAGTGCGTATAAGTGTGGTCAGTGGTTACCTAGCTGCCATAAAGAGGTGGTTCATGATTACCTTTTAGATAGAGCTTGACAGACCTCTGAGACATTTAGTGTGGAATGCTATACAAAAGCAAATATATTGTTGTTATTACCTAGCTGCCATTAAGGTACACTTTATGTTTGCATCATTTTGAATTACAGACAAGCAGCCCTCAATTAGAGAAAAAGTATGTCAGCAAAAAAAAATGAAAATCGCCGGGCCTATAAAATTTACGCCAGTTATAATGTCGGTAGTTTTTAGTTTCAGCCTACAGCCCTGAAATCAACCCATGCTGATCTGTTGTAGCAGTGATGGATGTCTTCAAGTCACCAAATTAAGCTGGAAAGCCTAGCCTACATACTGATATTCAAATCACAACTCATTATTGATAAAATTTTGAACGACGTTTATTTTATGATGACGAATAAAATGAAACTACAAACCGAACAAACAGTTGATAGCTAATAGTAATCAACAATGATTTTCCAGACGCAATAACGCAATCATCATTGTTGTCTGTTACAACACCCTATGTGAATGAACTGTCGCACAGCTAGCTCAGTCCCAATAGCGTTGCCATAGAGATTATCTATTAATTAAAACGACACACCGGTAGGCCTAAACGTTAATGTTAAATAAATTGAAATTTATGCCTTAATATTGTTCATAAAGCGCATTATCGCCTTGCCTAATCCTTAAAAATCGATTGCAATCAACCTGAAATGAAAACGGAACCCAAAGCAAGTTTCTACGAAGGCTCTTTTTCAGTAGACGTTTAATTCGGAATTGGACATGGTAGATTCATCAGTGTAAATTACAAATGATAGCTTCACTCATTCCTCAAAAACATGTTGCTAATTACGGAGGAAACGACATTTAAATATTTTAGATTCGACTAAAACAAAACTACGAGGGTTTCTTATTTGTTTTAATAAATCTGTTTAATTAAAAATTAATCGATTTACACTGAGCTTGTTCCTGTCTGCAAGCTGTTACGCACTACGAAACTTTGGGCGATCTGACGTCATCACAGCCAAGCACATTTTGTCCATCCATCATGACCCCCTAAAAAATGTTTACCAATTAGTGGGCAGAGTTTAGGAGGCACAACCTAATGTTTACACGAAGAATGTGTTGTTTAGAAAAAAAATGTCAGACCGAAAATGCAGGTAAAAACAATATAAATTTATGAAACATATAATCCAGTTTGATTTTATTCACATTTTACTCATAATAGAACATAAAAGACATTAAATAACTTAATTTCATTAAGAATAAAGTTTAATATTGTGTTTACGGCGATCCTGTCGTGTCTCCACAACTGGTACAACTAAGCACCAGCATAGCCCTGTGTTAGCTTAGGCCAGGCCTAAAATCTTAACGTCGGCGATTTTTTCGTAAATTTTTATTCTGCTAGAGAGCCCACAACTTAGTGGAAAACAACAGGGAAATATTTTTTTAAAGATGTCTCACACATCACAGAGTTTTTAAAAAAAGTATAGTGAAGTAGGAAAAGTCACTTTCTCTGATTACGTCCGTCACGGTGTCATTTTGACCCGTATCTCCGTGACGCATGCGAGTTAAAAAATAAAACTTGTTGGCCTGATAGTACTAACCAGTAGATGTAATGCAAACTTTAAAAAAAATTAATTGTAAGCTTCATTATGAAAATATAGATTCACAAAGTGTCTGAAATGTACGTCCGAATTTATGGAATTGCCCATAATAGAACATAAAAGACATTAAATAACTTAATTTCATTAAGAATAAAGTTTAATATTGTGTTTACGGCGATCCTGTCGTGTCTCCACAACTGGTACAACTAATCACCAGCATAACCCTGTGTTAGCTTAGGCTAGGCCTAAAATCTTAACGTCGGCGATTTTTTTCGCCGACGTTAGGCGGCTACGTCGGCATTGCTGAATGCCGGCGTTAATTTTGAGGGCTGCACTAGACCGTCATTTTAAATCCTATAAATCTGAGAGGACTTGAGACTGATTCTCCTAACCTTGGATTAGCAGTGGCCCAAATCAGCACCTATGTTAAGGCTGTAGGTTTGCAGCGCCCCCGCCTTACTGCTCGAAAGGCAGGGATACATTGCAAACATAATGCTTGTTCATTTAAATGGAAATGTAGGCCACCAATTACTTTTTTAGGTTAGTCATTGAAGCCTCTTTATCATCACTTTCGTAACTGTCATCTGTGTAGCTTACTAATGCTTACGATGTCTCAAATCTTACTAGTAGCCAGGCTTATTCATCGTTTAACGTTCTTCAATGGGATATTTAATTTTGTCAGTAGTATAGTTAGTGCTTTAACTGTTCCAATTCTCCGTAATCTCAAATGTAAGCTCACTACATCTTCTACGTCAAAATAGATATGCTACTACTCCTTGTTTAGTATTAATTTTTCACATTTTGTATTGCGATGTGTCGTACTGGCAACTGATTTTCTGAAAAAAGACACTTTAAAATAAAAAAAAAAATATCCTGAAGCAAAGTTACTTAGCTGCAAACAACAGTCATTTTGTGTACGATCTTACATTTTTCATTTGTTCCTAGACTACATAATTGCCATGGTTAACTAATTGGCCAGTTAAATCACTCTCAAATAGCAGATAAAAATTATACCATAACCTTTAACCCAAACAACCTCATGTATCATCAGACTTGCATTGCATAAACTAAAGTAAGTACATTGCATAAACTAAAGTAAGTAGGCTGTAGCCCTATAGATTTCTGGATTGCAGGTTCACATGGTTAAAATAACTGGATTTAGTTTTAATTGATTGGTTCTTAGTTGTGATATTAATTTACTGAAGGCATGTATTTACTTCTGAAAAAACAGTAAACTCTTCTGTGATTGATGACGAGATTATTATTTACCATAGGCCCAGTCGGGACTGACGAAAGTAGCTTGTACCGGTTGACCGGGTAGCTCTCCTGTGAATTCAGAATGTAAAATACAATTAAAATAAATTATTTATTCGTTCCTTTATAAGACATTTGTTCATTCAATTTATTGCTTGTTATTTAAATGTGTTGGGTTTTTTTTTTTTTTTTTTCTGTTGTACAGTAATTATAGAATATGATTTTATCAGCCAACTATTTTATTAAATTAGTTATTTCTATCTTTCAGTCAAAATATTTGAAGTAATTGAAACAGAAGAGAAGCTTTATCTTATTATCGAGTATGCAAGTGGAGGGGAAGTGTTTGATTACCTCGTCGCCCATGGTCGCATGAAAGAAAAAGAAGCTAGGGCAAAATTTAGGCAGGTAAGTAACAAAAAGTGTACTTAATGAATGCGTACGTGCATAACATTCCCTGCTACTAAAGCCCCTCTCCCACTAGGGGTTTTTTCAGCATACGAGTTACAAGAGAATGCCGAGTTGCTAACTCGGCAAACTCGGCAAAAACTCGTAGGACGATTCGGAAAGCTCGGAGAGGACTCTTACCTACTCGTAGCAGCTCTGAACTCGTGGCGCAAATTTTGAACATGTTCAGAATTATCGCCATGAGTAGATAACTCGTAGTAAACTCGTAGGTAGCTCGTAGAGTACTCGGAGTACTCCTACCTAGCTCGTACACTACTCTGGATACTCGTCGGCGGTTTTGTCATCTACGAGTTTGATGCGAGCACCCAAAAACGAGAACGAGTAAGTACGAGCGCACCGAGTTGGCTCGTACCTAACTCGTATCTAATTCGGTACAAACTTGTTACACTCTGAATAATCTCGTAGTTAACTCGGTGCTCTGCTCGGCATAATTCGTACATAACTCGTAACCAACTCCATAGAGTCATACCTCACTCGTAGCTAACACGTAATAAGCTCGTATAGGTCCTTTCCAAAGATCACGAGTTTTAACTCATAGAAATCGTACGACTCTTAGGTGAAATAAACCTAGGTGGGAGAGGGGTTTTAGTATTAAGGTGGTTCTGCTGATCTATGATTAACTTTGAATTTTTAATTGAATGTTTTAATTCATTTTCTTGTCGTCGTTAAACAGAGATATTGAACAGTAACCACCTAGGAAAAACTAAAACAGTGCACACATTTTATGTGAATAATAACAATGTCTGAATAAGTAACAAGAATTAGAAGAATTAGATTGTTTTTGTCAAGAAAAATAATGAACAAAGAACAAAGAACGATAGGCTTTTTGAAGTGAATATCCAACCACGCTTACTGTAGTTTAAGGAGGATTAGTTTTTATGGTTAGGTTAAGGATTAGTTTCTTGGATTTTTTGTTGTTGAACACAATTATTTACCTGTTTGTCAAGCATGCAGCGGTCGCAACAACATACGGTTTTTAAGTCTCCATTATTATTAATTACTGTTTTACCATGACCTGGATGTTTTTCTGTACAAAACGACTTTTGCCATATTTTTTGGACAGAGAAACGTCCATTTAAAAATAATGGAATTGTTTTAATGTTGATTTCTTAAAGTTTGATAACAATTTTTATGAATTACTGAGGTTGAAGTACTGTAACAATAGAATGATTCTTTAATTCTCAATGAAGGCATGGCTTCCAGTTTCAACATCTACCATGTCTTCACATCATACACGATTTTGCATTCTGCAGTTGCAGTGACAGATTGAAGGGGGTGGGGATGGATGTGTGCTGCCAGCCTGTGCAAATGGAGGGTGAAAAAATGAAAATTGTATTCAAATTTAATTCTGGGAGTGACATTTAGGGCCATCTAAAGGTGCCATTATCATAAATTATCAGCATTATCATGGCTTCTAGACTCTCTATCTGTGAAAGGCCCACTTTGGGCTCCCCCTCCCCGAATCTCAAATTCCTTGATCCACCACTGAGTTCCTCTGCAAGAAGCCCACTCCTCCCCTTAAACACAGACTTAGACCGGTTTCAAAAGGGAAGGGGTAGAGATGGGTTTCTACCCGGAGAATAACAAATTTATCTGAAACATTGAATGGTTCATTTTAACCTATCATAGTTTCCAATTTTTGATGGGACGCAGTCTGCAAATACTATGGGTCGGTACTAATAATTAAAAGCTAAGAAAGTAAACAATTCAATGTAATTTTCCAGTTCAAGTTTATTAGCTAAATGTAGAAAATAAATTAAGAGACTTAATTAATTCCTTCAACTACTAGCCGTTCTATTTGAGATTGCAGACCATTGGCTTGACATTTGACCCTTCATCATAATCAAGTACACCAATAAGTATTAGTTTAAAACTGATTTTGACATAGAGTAATGGGTAAAGTTAACATATATACTGTAATAATATGCTCTTGGGTATTCAGAAGTGTCATTTAAAGTGTAATTATTTTATGTTTTGTATTAGGGTTCAGAAATTTAATTTGTAGTAATGTGCTTGTAGGCATTTTGAATGACATTTGCTCGGCAATAGCAAAATACTCTGCGCAGTGATTGAAAATTTAAATTGATTAAAAACAAAAATAGTTACTTTAAAACAAGGTTTAAAAAGCAGTAACCTTCCCATTAAAAGCTCACAAATTCAACATAACCAGTTCTGACTATGTTATTATTAAACGTAATTCGTAGTTGTCCAGGTATAAAGTAAACCCACCACTCACGTAATTTTCCATGTAAAATGATCCATCCAGGAGGCTTATGCCTTCTCTCTTCTTCAGAGTTTTCAAATGGAAATTCTACACTAAATATGGCTATGGTAATAATTCTGAAACATAAACTAAGTATGAAATAAAGTCATTCCAATTTAGGTTCTAGGCATTCTTCTAGGCCTTTTTGTTGAGGTGTAATCCCTAGAATAGTCTCGGTGAGGCTTTTACAGTATTTTACGCAGACACGCCCAATTAATATTTACAATTCATGTCCTCTAGAGATTACGTCCACCCTTGCTGAGTTAAGGCCAGGGCTGTAAAAGGTTGGTGATCCTAGATCCGGTAGATTGTACACATCTTGTAGATGGTACTATCTGTCCCTGGACACAACTGGGTGTTTGGTCTCTAGATAAGTCAGTGTGTTGCCATCTGTACCTGAATTCAACTGGTTGCTTGTCCCATACCTGTACTTTATTATCGGTACTACAGGTCATAGGTTGGAAACTGGTGGGAATATGTTTGGAAGATTTGTAGGGTGAAGAAAATTTATTGCCAGGGATTTATACATTCTGAGTCAGAGCCACAACCATTGTGCCAACCGCTTCTACAACAATCTTAAGACCGATTCTATCACAATCTTAAGTGAATGTAATTAGGAAAATATGGCTTAAAATTAGGCTGTAATAGGAAGATTGTTTACAATGACAACAAAAGTTGAGGAACAACATGACTCAATATGATGATGTAATACTATAGAAAATTCATTTAATAGAGTAAGATTTAAAGTAGGCTAATGTAAAAGCAATTTTTATATCAAAATTTCAGATGCAAGACCTGCTGTTTTGTTGTTTTATGCGTGGAATAGCCCTTATTGCTGTTTAAAAATATACTAATCAATCCACAATAAAAATGTACATGTCTATTCTGCAAATTGCTTTTTATCATCTGATGCTAGGTTTGCTTGAGAATAGCTTTAAATTCCTACATAAACGCCCACAAACACACACACTTGCGATATTCTTGATATGTATTCTTCAACATGAATGAACTAGTAAATCGGAGAAATGTATATTACTAATTATTCTCATGTTTCATTACTTGACATTGTAGCTTTGTGAAAAAAAAAAAAAAACCAAAACGATTTAATGCATGAGGGAATGCTATACACACTGATGGCAAGCATACAGCATTAATGATGAAATTACATTAGTTGACAATAACTTTCTGAACTTTGCTCTGTAGCTTTGTAACTTGCATGTGTTAAAGTCAGATTCCGGAGGAAAAAACATTGTTGATATGTTGTAGAACTGATTTTTCTAAGACAGAAAAAAAGTTGTTTGACGAAAAACTGGGGAACGGTGAAGGAGATACAGATTTTTTAATATTTAAAAACTGGGGGGGAAAATGGGCGTAACCGCCCATTTTTACACCTTTTTCCCCCAGTTTTTAAATATTCAAAAATCTGTAACTCATTCACCGTTGCTCAGTTTTTGATCAAACTACTTTTTCCTGTCCTAGAAAAATCAGTTCTACGGGAGGAAAAAAATTTTTTTTCCTCCCGAGCCTGACTTTAATATAAGGCCTTGAATTTAAAAAAGAACCATTACGATGAATAATTGCTTGTATTAAGTTAAACTTATGTTAATACAATTTCTAAATATTTATTGGAAACCTTTTAATAAACAAAGAATTGAACGAGTTGTGAGGGATTTCCCGTAGTCTGGCCTATCTTCATTGGCAACGCTTAGAATTATTTGACTTCCTACTTTTATTGTTAAATTTAAGACACTGTTATTTAATGTATAATGTAAATAATATATTTTAAATGTGAATATTTAATATATTTAATTTGAAGTTCATATAAAGATTAAAAAATGGCAAGTTAAAAATCATATGTTACATGAGACCTTGGAAATAAAATTAGAATATCAGATATCAGATCACCTATGTTGTTAAAATCTGCCTATCTTCATTGGCAATGCTTAGAATTTTTTGACTTCCTACTTTTATTGTTTAATTTAAGACAAAAACTGTTATTTAATGTATAATGTAAATAATATATTTTAAATGTGAATATTTAATATATTTAATTTGAAGTTCATAAAGATTAAAAAATGGCAAGTTAAAAATCATATGTTACATGAGACCTTGGAAATGAAATTAGAATATCAGATATCAGATCACCTATGTTGTTAAAATCTGCCTATGTTATATTTTGATATATTAATATTACTATCTACTTCAAAACAACCCATGAAGCTGCCTGTGTTTTTATATTTTTAAGTACCGGTATATTAATATTACTATCTATTTCAAAACAACCCAGGAAGCATAGTGTTTACCCACTGTGTAGCTGACCTTGATAAGAACAATATACGTGTTGGCATTGATGGCTGCTAGAAGATCAGAGTCAATATTATATTCATGTATGCTTACAAATGAGTCATCAAGTGCTTGCAGGTTTAGCTACTCATATAAATTCAAACAATCCACCAAAGACCAACGAGCCTTATTGTAGGTACAAAAATATCTCAGGAAATCAACAAAGAACTCTATTTTTAATCACTTTAACGGCTGGGGATATTATAGTAAAAATTTTTACCAGTCATTCAGACCTGCCAAGTTTGTCGAAATAAATAGCAGGATGGTTATAAAAGGGAGGCCTACAGTACACCACCTCACCCATCACTATGGTTGGTGACTGGAGATTCTAATT